TTGACTTTGCAAGGAAAGGGTTTGTGCCTTTTCCTTTTTGCTGAGAACAGCCCTTTTTCTTTTCCCTAGACAAAAAAATGTTTTTTCTCACTAGGCTTTACTTGGAAATGCTAAGGATGTGTCACCCCCTCCAGAGAATGACAGGCCAACAACTAGACCTTCTTTAACAGAGGACTAAGTTGTTGTTATATAGCCAATAAAAAACTATTGAGGTGGAATCAACCACAAAACCATGGGTTCTCTGTCTGTCCAGCTCCCTTCCCAGGCACTAGAAACCTCAAATTCCTGACCATGGTGACAGACCAGAGTAGCAGCCAAAAGAGCACACAGACATAGTAGCTGCCCCCTACACCTGCCAGACAATTTCCTCTCCTAGGAAAGCATACAGAACAATGGAGTAGAGTATCTTCTCCTTTCTATTCTGTTTCCCAGGCTATAAATATAGTCTCACCCATGGCCATGGCTCTCTTTCATGGGACTGCTTTAACATACCCAAAATTATCAACATCTCTATTATTACTGCAGCAACCACAATTAACCGTTTAAAGTTTCAATGCTATTCTATGTGCCATAACTTGATTTTTTTTTTTTTTTTTTTTTTTTTTTTTTGGAAACATTTAATCAAGCTGTATGATTAGGATGAGAGAAAGGCCATAAACAGTAGTTAACCGGACAGTCTCTAAATGGCAGGCACCAGTATGAAATGAAAAGTGAAGTTCGAGGCTTGCCTGTCCTCCTTTGGAACATAGCATCAGAGTTTAAAGAACAAAAAGTGAATTTTGATCAATTCAGCTGCTTACCTTAGAAAACTAAACACAGACAAAATGTGAACCTTCTCAGGGCTACGCCTTGCTAGGTGTTTTTAACTAAGGTAAGAAATCCTTTAATCTCCTAATTTTTCCCAGACTTGTCAACACTGATACCTGTAGTCAGTGGCAAGTCTGCTAACTCAAATAAAGTCTTAACAGGGATAGACATTTCTAAGCAGGAAAGAGGGTCCAAACTCCCAGATTTTGCATACTGCTCCTCTAGCAGGATCAGACCATTTTCACAGTATAGCTTTAGAGAAGTAGTTATCAATTACAGGCTCACAAAAATATTTTAAGTTTTGGGTCTTTTTATGTATGAGATTCTTCTGAGTGTACCAAAAGGAAAACAACATCCAGGATCTAGTGCACCACTTATTTCTAAAGTCTTTGCTTTTTTTTTTTTTTTTTTTTTTTTTTTTTTTTTTTTTTTAATCTTTTTAAAACCACAAATGAACAATCCATCCAAGACAATAAATAGGCCTTGACCCTCTGTGGGACGCGGCCATCAAAGCTGGTAGGGAATGCTGAATTATCAGAGGAAGTGGGTCTATACCTGCTAGGGTAGCAGGGAAACAGTATCCTCTGTACAGACCTGAGGAAGGGTAACTACTAGTTTGCATGCCAGAAAAGCTTCATAGTACTGCAAAGCATCCTCTCAGTCATCACTGCACTTGGGTGAGTTGCTGTATGACTTCAGCAATAGCTTTAGGAGCAGCCAAGGCCACAGAAGCAATAAAAGCTAGAAATCTTTCAGCAGATATGCTTTATTTGTAATCCTCAAACAAACGGAGGATTTGGATTTACTTCCAGTCACAAATAAGTAAGGGCTGAGCCTTCTAGCCTAGATGATGGAAAAGACCTAGTAGTACTAGTTAAATGGGAGAGAGAGAAAGAGATAGAGAAAGAGACTCCTTATCAAAGCCAGAAAGACAAACCTTTTGGGTCTGGTGTACTCACTTACACATGCACACACACAAAACCAAATCCAACATGTGCCCCTGCTACTGTCTAGTCAGCTGTGTGATACATAGCAACCTGTATATCCTCGGCATTTTTAACTCTTAGACTGAGAGCACTGGGCTTGAAACACATAGCACTGCTAAAACATCCATTTGTGTAAATACTGAGCCATCCCCAAGCATTTTTGTTGGCTTGCTGTTTTTTTTAATTAAAAAAAATCTGAAGATATTGTGAATACTCTAGAAAAGTGTGGTAGTGGTAACGTCATATGATTATCAAAAGAAAGATGTAACATCAGCCTGACAGTTTAAAAAATGCAATACATCCCATTCTACATATAAGATCACATACAGTAAGCAAAGAGGATCCCTATTCACAATAATTACCACTCTAATTCACAGATGATCTCAAGAGTAGACAGAAAAAAAAAAAAAAAACAAAAAAAAACCAGAAAACCACAAAGCCCCAAACTTATTTCTTTCCCCCCAGCTGACTCTTTACACAGTAAGTTGGCTTTACGTGGCCACAACTTGGGAGGAATTTCAATTACAGGCTTGACATTGCAGAGAGCAAAGTGTAAAGGTTTTGAATGGTGTGGTTGTTCATAAGAAACCTAGAGCTTCCCTATCCCCTTCACAGGCATTAACTTAATTAAGGAACTTGGTCGTTATGCAAATGAATTCAGTTCTGTGATTGGTTATTGCAGCAATGAGTGTTCCCACACACTATCCAGATGAGTTCTGAAAAGAGCAATGAGGATCTATCTGCTCTGTGCAGTCTACACCCTCAACATTCCTTTTACTATTTGTTTCAAAAAGTCTTTCAATAAACGTATCTTTCCTGACATCAAAATTTATAAAGAAACATCATGTGAACAAGAGCTCTAAGTGAAATAACATTTCTGGTAACATTTATCTACAAGAGTATGACTTGCTGGACAAATTAACTCGTTTAGTAATATATTTACTTCATATTAACTACTCCATGATCTGCACATCTATACACAGAGACCTCTGTTGTGCGTATACGTCTGATATATTTAAGACATATAACTTAATTATACTCTTCTGTTCATTCCAATTAGTTATTTTAATGCAAAATCAGTCCAGATATTTAATAAAGCTCATTCGTCCACTTCTAAACTAATTTGCCATGTCTATTTTAACTTTTGAGGCCATGCAATGTCATACCTACTTAAATTTTAACAAGGCAAATGCCTTCCTCAGCAGGAAGAGAGTACATTCATCTTCCAAGGGTGAAAAGCTATGCACCTTCAGTTTTGCTTGGACAGAGAAAGTACATAAGTTTAATATCCTGAGGTATTTTGGCCAGTAAACTCTTACTATTACAAAAACTTTGTCCAGAACACAACAGAGAAAAAAGTTTCATGTAAATAACAAATTATTTTGTTTACTTCTCTTTTGTTTTTTGTGATTTTAAAAGTTTTGGAGTGTGTATTTTCAACTTCGTATAAACAAGACTGTAAAACAAGATAGTGAAAAGGCTAAATCTGATTATCCCTTCTAGTTTCATAATTCATTCCTAACTTAGCCAAAATCAAGTAGGCAAATATGTCCAAAATTTGAAGGATTTAAAACTCACTGTAACTTGAATCCAAGTTTAGTTATAGAATCTAGTTTAGTTTCATTTTTAGAGAATTCTGAGAAGGGGACATGCTTAAAATGCATCTGTATGTGCATCAAAATAACACCGACATGGAAATCAGGCAATCCAAAGATGAGCACTAACAACAAAAAAAAATCCCAAACCCTAGAAACATGAGGATATAACTTAGTGTGTGCCCTCCATATGACTCAACTGGATGCTGCTTACTTCTCTGGATAGCTGGAGTCACCATCAATTGCTGAGTTTTGAATATTCTTAATAAGCAAATATACACAGTGGGTAAATAAGGCTAGTACTGGAGAAATACTTTGTTCATTTACTCTAACTATATGAAATCTTAGTTCTAGTTATCCCAAAGAACAGTAAGATATTCTTGTTAAAATGATAAAGTCATAGCAATAAGAAATGCCATCTAAGAAACTCTTATTTGTTCTGAAACATTAGCTGGGACATGAGTAGAGTAGGTATAATTTGATTTAATATGTTAGGTGTTCAGATTATTTAAAATTTTGACCAGAGAGTGTATGCTTTTTCATGCCTTGTTCAGATTTAATTTGGTTTTTTGGTTTTTTTTTTTTTTTTTTTTTAATAAAACACTACTATTTACCAAAGCAACAACTACCACCCATGAAAAATAAGGTAACTGATGTAGCAAAACAAAGACGTTCAGATGGAAAGACAATAGCATATGCTGATATTCAACAAAATTACGTCAGTGTAGAGTTCTCCCTTTAAGGGTAGTCTTAATTTACGGTCCTTTCAAAGTGTAGCTATTGCTGTCCTGAACATAAAACAGAGCTCTGAAGCTACAGCATCAGAATGCAGCTCTATCTTAATAATAAAATTAATGAGATTAGAACGGGCCCAAAAATCTTAGTAGCTCAGGATTTTGTAACACACTTTGAATTGTGAGATGATTTAGTATTATGTTACATTCCATTTCTGTCTTAACACACACTGCGCCCTGTAAGGAACAAATATGTGACTACACATGCACTAATTAGATATTTATAGTAAGAAAAAAAAAATGTGCCATCACAAAAGCAGACTATATTTTGTAAAGATATAATTTTCTTCTCTTGCTCTAACTAGAAATCAGAATCAAGGAGACACAAGAGAGTTAAACTCTCTCATTATTATAGCTGAATAACTAACACCTATATAGTCCTTTAAAAAATAATGAGATACAGAAGCCAAAGTATTAGTTAGCTCAAACAAAGATGAAGGTGCAACTCTCAAACTGCTAGGAGAAGAAACATCCTGGAAAGAAAAACAGAAATATTTTAAATAATCCTCTTTCTTTCACCTCTGCCTTCTCATTAGTATGGGTTTGAGGCTCTTTCCTCCAGCAGCAGGAGCCAAGCTCCCAAGCAAGTGGCACACTTTGTTCTGTGTTCTTTCAGGATATGGAATTCTTTTCCTTGTAACCCCTCAAAAAGAGTTAAAACTCTCATCCTGACTCTCTTTGCCTGTATGAGAAAATTTCCAGCTGAACCCATATCAGCAAGTGCTACAGGGTTACAAGGTATCTAATCATGTGTAAGTGATCAAAATATTGGAAGATAATGAATAGTCCGATCAAACATAAAGTTTATGTGCACTTACTCCCAGAATTCCATCACTGGAGAAGTGGCATTTTGTAAGGAGACTTGACTGCAGTTGCTCATATTAAGTTTTTGAAATTCCACACAGTTTTCTATAAAAGGACAAAAAAAGAGTTTGCTATATTGACATGTAAGTACATTTCCTCTTGTGCTTCTTCTAGTTTATGCATCCTGTAAAGACACCATTCTATAACACATTTCATCTGTGTGGTTAAAGGATTTCTAGGTACCCTAAAATGTCACAGCTGCTACTTCTGCAATATGTTTTAATCACCAGATCACAGGCCTACCCCAGAAAAATATCCCTGCAGTATGCTACATTCTCCTATAACACCCCCCAAAGGCACAGTTGCGATGGCAAGGGCCACTAAAACATCTGAGGCAGAGAAAGATGCTTTGAAAAACTGAGGGAACTGATTGGGAATTACAACATACTCCTACTCCAAGTGCTGGTTCAATGGCCAATAGTAACAGTTGGCTTATGAAACACTGCCAGCAACAAGTTTCCACTTTGCCTTAATATGGCAAGTGAAAAGTCGCTCTGGCTTATTATTATCTCTAATACAGAGAAAGGAGATCAAAGCAGCTCAGCATTGTTGAGTTGACACTTAGTATTTGAACAGCAATCAACATTGGCTAAGCTCCTTTGCAGGGTTGCCAAAATTGATACTGAAGCCTTCCACATCTATTAGGCCCAAGGCTAGTTCCCTAACATAACCTAAACTGCAAGATTTAACATAGTTTTAGGTGTGCTCAAAGAACACAATAATGACTAATTAATAAAAACCATGAAACACAGTACACAATTGATACACGATTTGAAATCTAAGGAAGAAATGCAAAAACTTCAGGAACACTCAAATAAGGGCATTGATATGTATTCCCCCCCATAGATGTCTGCGATCTTCAGGTGCAGTAAGTAGAGCATTACAGATAAAAATTACCAACGAGAGGACAGATGCAGAGCCCTGTACTGCAAACCCTTACGAATACACACCTCATCTTTCATATAAGAGGCTACTTTGCATGCAGTAATGATTATTTATGCAACTAAATTTTCAGAAGTAGCTTGATGAACATTATCCCTCAACATCTGGCATTAAAAAGAGCAAATCCAGAGTTCCACATTTAATATTTTCCTCCCTACTTAAATTCCTCCTGATTTCATTAGAGTGAAAGAGCAAGATTGTAACCTGTCATCAGGTCATCAGCTCTTCACTAGAATTCACTTACTGTATTCAGGGAGAATAGGTATGATTGCAAATGAGAGTCTTGGGATTTAGCCAGAATATCTTACAGAATTAACAAAATTTAAAGTCATCTTCTGCTATCTGACATTATATTCTGCAGGAACAAATGCTTATACAATAACTTAAACAAAAAAGGTATGAATAAGTCTTCACTCCAGGATTCCTTTATCATAGTGTAGTGTGATGTGACTGGCCCATTTCCACATACTCTTCTACCAGAATAGTTTCATTCCTGACATTTTAATATATTAATCAATTACTTGAAAGTATTTGTTTAGCAATAATCTCTACTGAGGTCATACCTGTATTCCATTCATGCCCACAGGTAGCCCAAGGAAGCTCTGTAGTAAAGCAGTTAAACAAATAGAAGATAGCCCATGCTAAAATGATGATGTAATACACATTTAGATGTGCCTCTATAACTTGGGTAGCATATCCAATGCCTAGAGAAAAGTGAGACATAATAGAAATTATTTTTCAGGTAATTTAAAAACAAATGCTTACTACTTTTGGTAGATCTTAACTTCAATCTTGATATGATTTATTTTATTTTACTTCAAATGTAATGCATTCTTTTGCAGTACAACACAGAACTATTTGTTACCTTCAAATAGAGGGCAAACTTTCCTCCAGCATGTAATGCCTCCTTCACTAGTAAATTGTCCCAAGGCAGTCTCCAAGAAAAATACTGGTATTCCACAGCAAATAAAAAAAACCACATATGGGATGAGGAAAGCACCTACAAACAAACATTGAGGTGATATTGATTATAACGAATACAGTTCCTTGACAGCATAGCCAGAAATTAATTTTCTTAGTACAGGAAAGATCACCTATCAGCCACCCTTCAGGCACTGTGCTGGAAGCGCAGAAAGTGTTTACTCCTGGCCCCAATATCAAAAGTTAACCTGTAAGCCAATACCATGAACTAAAAAAGTCCAGACCATAGTTCCTCAGTATAGACTAAACTCTGCTCATGAGTCTCTCAGACACAGAAACAACCACAGTCTTGTTCAGCCACACATTTCTGCTCTGATCAACACCAAGTCAGTCTACACTATCTTCTCTTCCTCGCTTTTCTCAGGAAAGTGGGGATGAAGAAGTGTTACGGAAATTAAATCCAGAAGTCCTTCATATGTTATTTGGATAAGCCTGATGATAAGGATCATGAAAAGGGAATGATGAAATAAACTTCAGAACTACTTACAAGAACAGGAAAGCAGGGCTTGGCCTTATCATCTAGAAATATTAATGTGAAATTGTAGTAAAATAACAAAGCATTACTTTTGTTAGATGTGGACAGTAAACTCCAGCACAGATAATGAACAGTACAAACTAGTGCTGAAGCATTGTATATAGAAACAACAACAAAAATGTCCTCTTATCAATCTTAACACATAGCAGAAGTATTGTATTATTTAATGACTGATCGTGTTATTAGGTATGGCACCTAAAGAACATGGCTATGAAGTATGCTGAAGCAAAGAAAGGAGAGAAGATATATATGTTAGGCATAATGTCACTTGTTACTAACGTAGCTTTTAGGTATTCCATTTAAAACTGAACCTAAACAATAATGAATAAAACACATCCTTTTGACTACACAGAGAATCAGTTAACATATAAGGCACAAAGAATTTTTTTTCCTCATTCCCCAAGTACTCAGACTTTCTGATGACTCAAAAGATGAGGTGGAAAGCAACAGCTATATCGGTTTAGATTAAACAAGGAAAGAAGGAAATAAATACTGAGAATAAAGCACAACATAACTGATCCTGCCATTTTTATTTACACCAAGAAAGTTTTCCTGGTTTAACCAGGCAGACTAGTGCAGCAAAGTTACTGCACAGAATAATTTATCTGAAGTTTTAAGAAAATTAAAAAGCCTTAACTGTCTAATTAAGTTATGAAAATAAAGGTTAGTACAAGATACATAATGTATTGTATCCAGGCCTCAACCTAATTGATCCCAAGCAAATAATCTCACAACACAAACTGCATTTAAAGCTCCCATTAAATGATGTGAGCATCCCACCATTCATTCCATTTCAAATCAACACAAGATATACTAAACACACAAAAATTTTGGTGGGTGTAGTTATTCTTAGGAAGATGTTTTACAGTGCTGTCCATTGCTGCATACATTGATCAATCCTTTAGAGCACTAGCAGCATTTCTTCCTTCAGTTGGAGTCCTGCAAATAAATTTGATCACTAACGAACAGCACCTTAATAGCTATTCTCTAATACTAAACTTCTGTCCCAATATTAACTATGAACAAAATTATTCTTCATATACTTCAGGAAAACTTCTACAACTACAAGGCAAAACGGTATCCTGTTCATGATCTTAAAAATTAAAAAATAATTAAAAAACAAGAACAAAATCACCACACCAAAACCAAACACTACAACACACCCACAACCTGCAACACTTGTTATGCTTTAGTCACTTTGATTACAGAGCTGAGACAACTAAATGCAGGTGCTTTGACTTGCAGGTTTTTTCTTCAGACCCAGCACATCAAGAGAGATCTCTCCATGAGTAGTTTCCTCCCATAAGCAGGCAATTTGCCTGTAGTTGAGTCTCAGCTACATCTCAAGCACTACACATGGATTTCCCAAAGACTGGGATCCTTGCATCTAAAACATGGCTTCTCTGTATGATTTACCGGGCAGTTGGTTTGAATAAATTCCTTATAGGCCAGGTGAACTGCTGGCCAGTATCAAACCCAGCTTGGCCCACTCATGCGCACAACCACAGCAAGTTTAACATGACAACTTGTTGAAAGTATTAGCTTTGACTCTATTTTTCCAACGCTGTTCTACAACAAGTATACATCACGAAAATCAGGGGACATCAGGTTTCCCAGCTTGCAAACAGGTCATATTCCAAGAAATATCTAATTCTAAGCATGCGAAGAAATCAGTTTTCCTAAAAAAACCCACTAATTATCCATAAGAACTAATCAAAATTTCAGAAGCTTATGCCTACACTACCTGTTATGACTCGGAGTGTAGCAGAGAGAGGTCAGACCTCAGACTAGTTCATATATCTTACCATTTTCTTCACTTACCACACACTAAGTAGTTTTCAGTATTTACATCTGATGCATCAAACAAGTCCAACTCTGGTCTAATTCCAGCAGCACATTCCAGAGAGTTACAAAAACACAGGGCATAGACCAAGTCCTCATTGAATAAAACTGAAGTCAATGGCAAATTTCCCATGGTGCCAGGACATGACCAATTAAACCACACACATTAATTCTATTCTTAAAGAACCAAGTGGTGATTAAGTATGATATTTAAGTAATTACTTTTTCACCAAATCACTCAAAAACATGGTTAGAATTTTTTTTACCTAATGTTGTAGCCTTAAAAATGACAGCATCACATTTTGACATGCTAGCATATAAACAAATGGGAATATAAAGGTTACGGTATGAACAAGGAAATCTTCATTATATACCAAAATAATATTTGTATCTTTTCCCCTGCCAAAATTTCTCTGGGAAAACTTTGACAATCAACAAGAAACTGTTCTGCATATCATATCCAGCATATTAATATTTATGTACTAACAGCAGTACTTGGTAGCATCATTCTGAAAACAGGTGAAGTATCGTTATCTTAGTTTTGCGAAAGTACATATATATAAAGAGGCTGCAAAGCATAAACACATCTTTCACAGTAGTATTAGCCTTATATCTAGAAACAGCAGGCAAAACAGGCCCCAACCATCCCTGAGTTCAGGCAACGGTGCCTAGTTTTGATGGGACAAGGGAAAGAAATTTGGCACAGTGTCGTCTGCAAACCAACCCGTTAAAGAATAGATCTTTGCACTGAACATACTCTTTTTCTCCCAGGCTATGTGCTCACACAAACACTGATTCAGACCTTAAGCAGGGAGAATGTTGAATCCAGTCCACAGAACTCTAAACTCAATTTTTCATTTAATTTGCTTTCCTCATTGCTTCACAAGTCACAGCTGACATGCTTATTCTTAACTGTCACATATCTTACATAGTTTATATTTAACTATAACCAATATATGCCACACGTTATACTTTTGTAGAAGTTAAGTCTGTTCTTTTCTCTCCCAAATAACATTCCTATTCTCAGTTTTATAGAGTTTGCTCTCTCTGAGTAACAGGCAGCTTTTACACCTTCCCCTACCCTACTGTAGTGATTTGGGAAGTAATGAGAAAAAAAAGTATGGTTGAGTTAAAGAAATTCTTGTATCACAAAGAAGAGAAAGTAATCTCTGTAGCATTACCAGAAGCAGTATTCCTCTCCAAAGTATACTGTTGTGAAAAACAAACCGGTACATTCTTCTCTACATCAGACTAACTTAGTATGCTTGGGTCTGTATCCTCATGAAGAAGAAAACACAGTGTACTACTATATAAGAACGCTGGCTTCTTCCACATTAAAAATCTTACAGGAAAAAAAAAATAAATTACAATTTACTAACATAAAAGAAATTTGTGAAAGTAAGCCACACAATATTTGGGGAGAAGAGAAACAACAATTTTTTTCTTAGTTGTCAGATAATTGTTATCCACATACACTGAAATCCTGAATACCTCTCTCTTACTAGTGCAAGAAATCACTGTAAAGCATTCTTAACTGTTTCTTTCCTGCATGTTTAGGGTGAACTGTAAATCAACATATGATACCATCTTACCTCCTCCATTCTTGTAGCAAAGATATGGGAATCTCCATACATTTCCCAACCCAATAATCTCCCCTGCCACAGAAAGCACAAATTCAACCTTATTGTTCCAGTGACCTCTTTCATGAACTTTCTTATCATTTCTGTGGACAAGGGTAGTACTTGAAGCTTCTGGGTCCAAAGCATCTTCTGGCTTGCCGTTAATTATAGGAATAGTCTTTTCAGCTGTCATGACTGTTCAGCCTAGGGGACAACAAAAGAAGAACATACAGATGTTTTAAGTCACTTGTTAGCAATAACCTTCAACGACTAAAGAAGTCCCTGAGCATATCATTGGCTTCTTGTTACCTGCACAGATTTGCAGGTGAAAGCCAAGGAAGCAACTCCGTAAGGCCAGAAAAGTTGTAAAGAAATAAAAAGGGAAAAAGGAAGAGGGGAGAGGGAAGAGACGCTTACGTACAAGGGAAGGAGAAGATTTCCAAGTTGAGACAAGCAACTTAGCAGTACGACAGTGTTTTAAGGCACAGCGAGTGAAGCCTTCCAGAGGTCCCTCCCCAGGCGAGGATCCCAGCGTGGCAAACCTACCCGAGAGCAGAGATCTGCGGCACCTTCCCGGGCACGATCGAGAGCCGAAGGGGATGGGGAGAGGGGGCCTGGAGGGCTCTGGCCTGCCTGGAGGAGTAAGGGAGCTCCCAGACTACTCACCCAGGGCGCTGCCAGTGCCTGCGCGGCGGGGGGAGGGACAGGGGCTCTAGCCCAGCGCTCGGCTCCGCGCAGAGCTCCGCCGGCCACCGCTCTCCGCTCTGTTGCGCGGGGGCACGGGGCATGGCTGGGGGGGCACACCATCACAATCATGAAGTCAGTTTAAAAGTGTTTATAAAATGTAATTTCTGAGAGTAGTGGAAACATTTGAGAAGAAATCCATTATTTCTTTGGCATGCAAATGAAATTTATCAAGGTTATATAGCAATGGCTGTGGAAATATTTTTTTTTAGACTAATGTGATGTATGAATTAATGGATCACTGAAACGATTTTTCTTTTCAATAGGATGGCGAGGTTTGTCAGGTACTTACATTCTCTTTGGTAGTTCTAATGGGAAGCTCCTACTGCTCTTGGTTTTGTTAATTGTGTATAGATATAAAGCATACTCTTGTTCATTTCTTTCTGTCAAAATGTTACAAATTTTGTAGGCAACAACAATGAGAATAAAATATTGCTTACTTTACTGGGCCTGGTTGGGATGGAGTTAATTTTCTTCACAGCAGGTTGTAAAACAGCACCATACATTTGTGACCACACTGTCTTGGCAACATAGTGGCGGTTCTGCTTGTAGACTGGCTACGCATCAGAGTGGTAGTGCTGACTTT